GGGTGACCCCCCATCCGCCTCCCCGAGCAGCCGGGGGGCTCCATCCCCCCGAATTTGGAACTGAGCCGAAAGCTGCTCTCGCACATCTGGGGTTTCATTTTCACCCCCTTTTTCTCACTTTCCCACTCGAACCCTGCCAAGGACAATATTCCCTCTTGCAGCAAGGAAATGCCATCTCAGAGACGTGGGAAAACAGCTAAGCAGGACAAAAAAGCAAGAACATGAAATCGGAACAAAGTAATAAAAATTAAGAATGCGTCTCAAGCCCTAGAAATCTTTAGGAGCAAGAAAAATATCACACGTTTGGTCTGTTTTTACTGTAAATCTCATTGTAAGAGAGTCACACCAATGGGAGAAAACTAAAATACATTTCTAGAGGAGTTCTAGACAAAATACACCGCTAATTTCTTTCACTTTTATTTTTCCCATGGCTTATTGCTTAGAGTGAATCCAGAGCACAGTTTGCATTGCTACCAAGCCTGTTCAAGTTTATACTGGAGTTTCTCTGGTTTTCTCATACAATATCATGCAGCTGCTTGCTTTGCTAAAACCAGCAACCCCGAGACAGCCAGCAACGGTTCCACCACTAGCAGAAAAATTAACACCCATCCTTCTGGTAAAGAAACCCCTCACCCCGCTGCTGCCTTTCTCCTGCTGTAACTCCCCCAGGATCACAGGGAAGCATTTTCCCCCGGAGGGATGGAGCGCTTTGCTCCTGTGCTCCGGGTTTTGGGGACACCAGCTTTGCACTGAAGATGTGGCCGACCACCATCTGCTCTGTCAGTGCACACCGTGACTTTCTTCACCCCTGATTTTTCAGGGGAGCTCAGCTCCTCTGCCCCCACACGCAGTCGAGGAGCACTGGCTGCTCCAACCACCTCCGAAAATCCACCTGAGGCTGTATTGAAGGCTCAGAGTTGGCAGCTACCTCAGAAAATACTATTTGCAGGCAAAGTTGTTAATTTTCCAGAGAATGAAGCTGAGAAATTGCTGGGATTCACGTTAATAGATTTTTAAGGGGAAATATTATCTGCTTGGCTGCCAGTAATATTTCAAGATCTCGATGGGGCTGAAAGCAGGAGCCGAGCTCCCTTCAGGCTCACGTGCTCTGGGTGAGAGCCCGGAGGCAGCGCGGGGCCGATGCCGACCCCCCAGCCCAGCAGAGGTGCTGGGGCTGCCTCTGCTCCCAGCACCGATCATCTCACCCGTTCGGGGAGGCTGGAGAGGCTCCTTAATGAGCAACCAGGAGGGAGGAGTAATTCTTGAGAGGCTGGGACTTAATGGCAGGAGAGCAAAGATGAGAGGACATCTCTCTAAACCATGGGATGGCTATTTCCACTTATGCCCAAATGATTACTGGGGGAAAAGTTAGAGATCTCTTCATGCAGTGTTTTTTAAGACAAAAATCGAAGCATTATTGCCAGCTGTATTTTCACAACTCGAAAGAATTGAAGTACTGTCCTAAAAGCCTGGGCATGCAACGAGCACCTGAGGATCCTGCAGGATGCGGGAGCCAGCACGGGCACTGCAGGCTCTGCCAGGCTTGGCTCCACCTTCCACTTCCCTGCAGCCATGGGGCAGCGGGGATGGATAACCCACACCCAGAGCCTGGGTGAGGGCAGGTACCTCTGCTAAAGAAAAGAGCTGGAGAAAGAGAGGGGGATCTCTGGCTACTGACACTATCTTGGGCAACCAGAGATTCATCCTGGGGCTGGTAAAGGGCCTAAAACCAGCATGGAAGAGCTGCAGACAGCACATCATGCTGCTATGAGAAACCGGTTAGGAAATATTTGAGTCGTTTACTGCAGTGGAGGCATCTCCAAAGCAAAAGCAGGACCAGAGCTGGGAATTTTCCCCCCACTGATGTGTTTGATCTCTTTTCCCCAGGGTAAAGTGGCAGTCAGCTCTCCCAGCCCCGTTGTCACAGCTCTGTTACCGCCCCCATCCCAGGCCAGACACACACCCATCAGCGAGGGGGAGATCTTCAGGCTTCCAGGCAGGCTGAGTGAGTAGATGTTGAGCAAGTCAACGCTGCTTAAAAAAAGGAGTTCCCACAGGGTGGGACATGGTGGGTACAGCCACGGTGTCCCACCCAGGGACCATTCCCTGCTGTCAAAGGGGGACAAGATGGACCAGTCATCAGGGTTCATTTTCTCTCTTTGGGGTGTTTTTGACCTGTGAGTGCTTAATATAGAGGGAAAGTTTGGTGATGGAGAAGACTAGTGTCCCACCCTGCCCCTTAGCAGTTTTGAAAATGGAGACTGAGTTGTTTCAGAGGCTGCTCCTGGTTTCAGGAATCCAGCCCTCACTGTGGAGCAAGGATGACGTGATCCACTGGCTAAGATGGGCTGAGAAAGAGTATTCCCTTCGGCAAACCGACGAAAGCAAGTTTGAAATGAACGGCAAAGCCCTGTGCATCCTCACCAAGGATGACTTCAGATACCGAGCTCCGAGCTCAGGTTAGACTAAGTGCAAGGGTGTTTCTAAGGCCCATCCAAGTACAGCACAAGCTGTGGTCTGCTGAGAGGGGCTGGATGGGTCCCAGCAGACCAGGCTTCAGCTCTGGCCACTTGGGTGCTGGAGACAAGGACAACCCTCTTCTTTCCTTTAGTCCATCTGGACTGCAAATGCTTTGGGATGGGGAATAACCTCTTACTCTGTAGCACAGAAGTCTAAGCAACAACATCGACTGAGAGAGGCTAATACAAAGTCATCTGAGCAGTCTTTCCTTCCCTGCAGGTGATGTGTTGTATGAAATACTCCAGTATATCAAAACTCAAAGAAGAGCCCTGGTGTGCAGCCCTTTGCTGAGCCCACCCTTCAGGGAAGCCAGGAGCCCAGAGGAAGGTATGATGGAGGATGGCAGCTGTCCATCAAGCAGAGCCTGCCCTCAGTACAGTGGGTTGCACACATCTGGGGTTTGAAGCCTAGCCCGTTGAACCCATCCCACACTACCTGAGCAAGGCAAGCAGGACAGTCCTGGAGATGGCAGCCAGGTCCAACAAAGTCCAGGTCATCAAGGAAGTTTGTAGTGATGAAGCAGGTCTGGTCAGAGTCAGGCCTAGACAGCACCAGGTGGGTCCACGGTGACCAGGCAAGGCTATGGCTACCCTGGGAAGTCCATCTGCAGACTGAAGTCTGGGTCAGGGAGGGTCAATAGCCAGGCAGAGGTACAGACCCAGCTGCAGACTAGTCCTCCTGCAGCATAGCTGGGAAAGGGATAAAGAACCAGGGCTGAGCTTAAATAGAGCTGCTGGGCCAATGGGTGGAGTGGGGAGAAGCCCCAGGTGAGGCTGGTCAGGGCCAGTGAGGCTTATCAATGTCCTCAGGGGGGCCTAGGTTGGTATCAGTGGCTGGTTTTGCACTGAGGTGGATCTGGGAGTGTTTTCCTGAGCTCTTCTGCTGGCTCAGGTGTAGCGTGATGAACATCTTAAGCCCTCATAGCAGTTTACAGGGGAGTGCCTGTACTCTGGTGCATTCTCCTGTTCCAGCTTTTCTCACCCTACTTGGCATCTCCTCTAACCCCCCTGGACCTTCTGCTGCTCCTGCCTTAGCAAAATCCCAGGCTTTCCTCAGGACCTACCTCCTGGGACTGGGCCGATAGCCAACCTGGGCTGTCCCTCCCCACCTCTTTCAGGGCTTTGGAAGATGTCCTGGGACCTGCCACAATGAACCACAGGATTATTTGCTTATTTTTTGTAGGGACAGACTGTAGTGCCTCAGTTGGTGTTTCCTCCTGCCTGGGGGGTGCAGAACAGCCTGTGTCCCACAGCCCCGCAGAGCCGCTGAACCTCTCCCATCACAGCTCGGAGGGCAGCTGCAGGGCAGGTGCCATCTGCTCTTTTCCTATGACCCTGGCAGCCCCAGTAGATGGGAAAATTGCAGGTAAATAGGAATTTATAGCCTGGTTCCTTGGGGAAATGAGAATGTGCTCTGTCCTGTCTGCCCATGTCTCCCTTCCATTTATTCCATGCATCAGTGTGTGTTTCCCTGCCTCAGTTTCCCCACCTGAAAAATCATAGTTCCTGCTAGTGTTTTGCGATTTAGAAATAAAAATGCCGTGTATGAGCTCTGGGCAATTCTCATGTTTATTATCATTGCTAACACGTGCAATCCTGTTGCTGATTGACCCTCACTGGAGCGCAAGTGCCTTAGTGGGAGCTCTGTGACTATTTATTCTCCACCGGCACTCAGACTGCAGGTTGCTGTGGGATTACGTGTACCAGCTCCTCTCTGACAGCCGCTACGAACCTTACATCAAATGGGAAGACAAGGAAGCCAAGGTCTTCCGCGTTGTTAACCCCAACGGACTTGCCCAGCTCTGGGGGAACCACAAGGTAAATGTAGTTGAGAACAAATTCATCATTCCTGGGCTTCCGCATGTCACCTTCGTGACCTGTTCCCCAGAGCTGATGGCACAGGGACTGGGAAGGGTGAGACGGAGTGGGCGCAGGGCTACTGAGAGATGCTGCCCTCCTGGTGATTAAAGAGGGAGGCTTTCTCATCCCCCGGAAAGCAAACCATGATGGCTGTGGACCCAGAAGGGAGTCTGGGTTAGAGACCCACACTGCAGCCTGCAGTGCCCAAGAACCACCTCGAACATCCCACGTGTGGTCCTGCTGCAGACAGACCCAAACCAGGTGTTGGTGCTTGCTTTTACTCACACCCCCCTCCCCAATTCTTTTCTGCTTCCAGAACCGGATGAACATGACATATGAGAAGATGTCACGAGCGCTCAGACATTACTACAAGCTTAACATCATCAAAAAGGAGCCAGGGCAGAAGCTGTTGTTCAGGTGAGATGAAGCAGATCACAGAAATGAGCTGCCTGGGACAGTGCAGATGGGGCACGGGAAGGCGGTGGGCTCCAGATGTTGGCAGCTGCTTCATCCAGCAAGATCCTCCCCTGCAAATGCAACACCCCAGTGGATTTGTGTCCAGGCTCTGTCCTGTGCAACCTGGCAGCTGGGCCGCCTGGGCTCTGGGTCCCATCTGATGCGCTTTCCAGGACTGCAGACCAGCATCCATCCGCTCTCCTGCATGGAGTCCAGTTGGTGCTGGAGGAAAGGCCCCCAAGCCCACCCAAGCTGGACAGGTCCCTCCTGTTCCCCAGTGACACCAGATCTAAAGTCTACCTCCAGACAGAGGAAAGGGTGGAAATAAGTCAAGAGCCTCCTGTTTTCAGTGCTGGCTGCTTCCCTGGACTAGTTTGGACTTAGAATGCCAGCTCTGGGCCGATGAGCGCTGAGCTTTGTCTCCCCAGGCTCAGTGCATCCTGGTGCAAAGCAAGAGCTGGGATCCTCAGTGAAGCCCGGGGATGGCAGATACCCTCTGGTGAGCTCCAGAGCTCAACTGATGAGGGCAAGGGCTCCGGCATTTACAGCCTGGTTTGGGGCTGGGTTTGGACATGCCCTTAAAGCCATTAAATAAATGTATTGCAGGTTTTTGAAGACTCCTGGGGAGATCATCCATGAGAAATCCAGCACACTGGAGCAGCTGGAGAATGAGGACCATGAGGATTTGAAAGAAGACCCACTGGAGGTTTCAGCATAGGAAATCTTTGAAGGTGCATCGCAGACAGACTTGTGCTCCGCTGGGAAGTGCCGGCGTCTCTTGCATCTCAGGGACAGAAGGCCACAGAGCTGGTCCTGGATTTCAAAACCTGCCTTGAGCCAAAGCTGTGACATCTCTGGGGCTTCATTAGCAAAACACACCCAGAAACCGTCCCCCAGCCCCAAAAGCACTGGTGAACGTGTGGGCTGGTCTTCTGCTCACTTCTCTTCTGTCTGCTGGGAGGGAGTGTGATATTTTTTGCTCTGTAAATGTTGATGCTTGTCTTTAAGGTTTAAACTGGCTGGTAAAGACTGCTCCATTCTTACAGCAGACCACCGGAGCCTGTGCTCCTGGTCAACCATCTACCGAAGCGCTTTTGTAGAGAGCAGTGGCCCTAAGCGTGAACACGCTGCTCTGAATCTGAGCCATTTCCCCAGTTCAGAAACGGACTTATATCGCAGATATGCTGTGCACTGGAATCTCCCTGTCTCCTGTGGGGTTGCTCCTGTGATTAAGGGTGGGAGTGTACTGAAATATCTGCCTGGATCCAGCCTGGCTGGAGCTCCAGGCTGCACGGATGCCCTAAGCTGTGTCTCATTTTAACTCCTTTCCCTCCATGTAATGCTTTTTGTAATTAGCTGACTAAATAATGTGAAAAGAAACAAACCCAGTCGTGAATATGTCCACACTCATCGTCAGACACGTGGTTATTTGCTTTGAGTCTGAAGCAGGAATACCTGCAACCCCAGGCGCTGTTAGTGACCGGGAAGGAACAACGTGTGTTTGTTTTCTTTTTAAATCCAAAAATATCCACTATTATTTTCAGGTTGCTTTTCATTGAGGAAGTAAAATCCTGTGACTGTGTAGGGTTGAAAATCCCATTTCTTGCTAGTCAAAGGTCTGAAACTAGGAAATCCAAGCCTTCCTCATTTAAAACCAGTTCCTGTGGGCACCCAAATCTTGTCCCCAGGCTTGGCAGCCCCTAAACCAGAGTGCAACGGTCCGAGCTGCTCAGCAGCTGACGGGTGAACGCAGTGCAAACACACGGCGTTTGGTGGCTACGTGGACAAGCGCAGATACAGGTCGTGAAGCAGCATCGTGTTTCATGGCTGGTAGGAAAAGGTGAGTTCCTTCCAACCTCTGTTTTGCACCACTGCAGAAATTATCCTGCTGCCTCATATTTTTGCTCTGGACCCTTTCCCAAGCCTAAGCTGCCGTCTCAGAGCTGCATCGGCACCGCGTTTGGGGCAGCAATGCTGCGAATGGGTCTGGGAACCGTCAGTCTTGTGAAAAACATTGGCAAGGGTTGGTGACTGAGGTTTCCGCCAAAACTGGTTGTTGCCAACCTGAAACTACAGTCCCTTTTGCTGTAACTGGAGTCGCTCCTCCAAAACTATTTTATACCCATTAACTGGAGCCTGGAGGTGCTGGTGGGCTGTAGCCAGCAAGAGATGGTGGTGGGACACATGGTGGCCGGTTGGCAAAACGTCAACAGTACGACATCTTCGGAAATGCTGGCTGAGAAGTTTCACTTCCAGAAAAATCACCAGCTTGTTGGCCAAATGCAAGTGCTTGAGAAGTCAAGTGATGGAGGAGAAGGAAACGAGAAGCTCTAGTGGGGTAAAAGAGCACGATAGCGTCACAGCCTTTGGGAGGTCCCAGCTAGGACGGGAGGCCAAAATCTCTGCTAGGAGAGGGGACCGGAGGTTCCCCAGCACCCAGCCAACCTGCAGCCTGGGGATGCGCTACACCAGGGAAGTGCAGCGAAGCACCCAGACCTCATCCTTCCTTCCACAAAGGGTGCTTTTTGTCCCAGACAAGACTAAAGCCAGATCTTTCTTGGGGTGAAATCCAGTGCAGAGTCAGCGTACGTCCTGCCCAGCCCTGAGGGACAGCTTTGGTGGGAAAGCAGACCTCCTTCCTTGGCAACTGTCCTGTCCTGGACCTGCATCGCTCTTGGGATACACACCCATGGGTGCATTTTTCCTGACCTTCTCCGAACAAGATATCCCCTCTGCTTTCTTGCCGTGGAAATGGCCCCGATGACTCCTGAGCATCCCATCACTTCTCCAGCCTGCGTGATTCGTTTTGTTGGAGCAGGTGACAGTTGGTGACCCCGGCGCTTGTGCCGTGCTCGCAGGGAACGTGCGAGATGCCCTCTCTCCACCTGTTTTTCCCGCGATGACTAAGGATCCTGTTGGACTCGGACGGGGGTTTCCTCTCCTGGCTGGGAAGCTGCCAAAAGCACTCAACCCGCCTTGTTCTGTGCCACCGCGGCTCCAGAGGGATCTTGGAGGGTGAAAATCAAAGGGCACCTTTGCAAGGATGGGCTGCAATGAGGAGCTTTTTCCATGCTCCCAGGAAGCCCTCATGTACTTCCAGGGCTGATGTGTCTCTTTTCCCTGCGGTAAACAGAGGCAGGAGGGCTGTAAACCCGCTGCGTTCCGGGCACAGGGACCCATCCCTTTCGGTAAACAGCCAAGTAACTGCCGCTTGCGCCGAGGTGTTTGGCGTGGGTGTGTGGGGAGGGAGAGCATGCAGCGGCTGGTGACTTTTACCGCGGCTGAAGTCCAGGGGCGGTGGCACGCAGGCAGGTGCCCCGCGCGGGCTTTCCCGAAGGTTTGCAGTTGCTTCGTTCCCTGAAGGTCATCATCCATGCTTCAGCAGCCCCAGGCCTGGTGGTGTTTGGGGCAGGCTGCTGCATGGCAGAAAATGCAAATGCCCGTGGATGCCCGCTGCTGTCTCGCACTGCTCATCTGCTGAGGGAAGCTGCTAAAATCAGTCCTGGGGCTGGAGGAAAAGAGGATTTGCTTTGGGGGCTGGTGCTTGGATCAGAGGCACCACACAACCGGGCCGAGAGGTTTCCACCAAGGCTGTGTGTTGGCTGTGCCGTCTGTCCAAACTGTGGCTGGTGCAGGGAGCGGTGGCTGCCCTCAATGCCTCCGTCGTGGTTCAGATCTGGAACTGCAGATATTTTTGTGCCCAGGTGGCTGGTGTTGGGACCTTTGCGGTCCACTTAAAACACAACTGCCTCCAACACCCAGTTGGATTGGCTATGGCTTTGGCTAGCCAAATCTTGAAGACCTCCAAGGATGGTGATCCCCCACCCCTGACACCTGTTTGAGGTTGTCCCACCCTCCTGCAAAGGAGGCTTTTCCCGATGTCCAACCTCAGCCTGTGGCCTGTCTGTCTTGCTCCCAAGAAATGTGGGTGATTTGACTCCTGCCTTCTTCTGAGCCCGTTGTAACCCTCCACACCTCACAGCTCCATGCGGGGAATACCTCTCCCTTGTTTTTTCTCATCTTCTGGAGCCAGTTTCTGTAAACAAACCCGCTATCTCCCCATGCTTTTAGTTCTGCTTTTCCCTCCAGTGTCGCTGGCCTCAGCGTTATGTACTCCCTCCACGTGACCACGTTTCCAGGCAGCTTCCTCATTCTCTCCCACTATTGATGAGAAAAGCGGACAAATTTGGATCCGGATCTCTTCCCCCAGCTCTGGTTTTTGGTTTGTCTCAGGTCTCTTGCAAAAATCTTTTTCTTATGCCTCTCTCCCATTAGGTTTGAGCATGTCCCCAGTCCCAGAAGGGATCTGAACTTGGATAAAGGTCTGGATCCAGAATCACAATTCAGGTGAAGATTTTTCCTGGAGTCACTTTGGGTATCCTTTCTTCAGGCTGTGTCCAGAAATGCTACTACAAAGAGGAAAAGCCTGCAAGAGGCCATAAGTCAACGCTGATTCCCAGTTTAATCATGAGAAGTCCTTCATGAGTAGGGACGGTGTTTGGACGCAGCTTTGGATGATCTCCAGTAGCAAGATCTCCAAATTGGAGATGGCCAAATTGTACCCCATCACTAGAGTGGATGTGGCTTTTCGTTTTACGGATATTGCAGAGAAAAAAAAACAACAACATTGATTGTGAAACTCCTTCTCACCCACTGGAATCGACCTGCTTATGAAAGGACGTGGTCCTGTGTTAGTTAGCAGCATGGAGCTCCTCAAGGATGGTTTAATTATTCATCAGAAGTAGATGGGGATGCTGAAAAACAAAACCAGGTAATTTCTAATCAATATTATACTCTGATTCATCGGTGTAGGCTCAGGAGAAACGAAAGGAAATGGACTGGATCTCTCCCAATTATAGGAAATTATGGCACAGAAAGTTTGTAGAAACAGAAAGAAAATAATCCTGGACTGGTTCCATTGCAAGCTGATCCCCTTATCAGGAAAAGACCATTTTTATCTGGGAGGGACCGGGGCAGCACATCGTCCTAGCTGAAAACTAAAGAAAATGCAGCACTGCTTCAATGGAAATCTTGCCGAGGGATTTTCCAAAGCCTGTGTGCCGGCAGCCGCCGCCCGGCAAATGCATCCGCATCCAGCACCGTCCCTGCAAGGTGCAGTGCGAAATATTGCCATCAGATGGCAAGATAGCAATGAGGATGGCTGGCAGCAGCCCGTGGGAGGGTGCAACGGGCACAGGGGTGCAAAGGGATGGCCGTGGGGCCAAATGGATCTCTGGTTTAAGAAGAAAGGCTGAAAATTTGTTTGGCCAAGGGGCAGATTGCAGATGTTGGGATGTGCAGATCTGTGTTGTGTGGGTTCGGCCCTGGAAGATGCTCTGCCCCTGGGCAAGGCTGAGTGGGAGCCATGGGGGTGCAAAGGATTTGGGTCATGAAGCCAGTCCTGTTTCGTGTTTTAGGGTGGGTGCACAGGCTGTCTGAAGGACCCCAGGATGGGTTTCAAAGATGCTGCAGCCCAGCCATGCTCGGTGTTAGGCAACAAGCTGATAGCACTGTGCCCCAGAGCGTTGGCGGTCCCACAACAGCCCCCAGCATCCACGTTCCTGGAAGCTCCCAGAATGCAAGTGGGGCAATCTGCTTGCTGCATTGAAATCCCATTTATCTGAGAAAGCTATGACTTCTCCTTACAGTAACAGCCCAGAAAAGCCCATACATGGTATCACACCCACTAAAAAAAAAAACAAAAAACAAAACCAAACACACCAAAACCAAATGCCAAGCAGCTGGCTTAGATAGCTGGTTTCAAAGGCCAGCACTTACACTAGGTGACAGGTGATTTTTATGCTGTTTTGCTGCTATATGTCACAAGGAAATTGCTTTCTCCTCCAGCG